ACGCACAGCAGATACCTGGAGGGTGCTGTCTCCTGGTGAGGAGAAGGGTTTGTGATTCCACAGGATGAAACCTTCACAGGTGGAAGACGCCTTTCCTAAGCCCATGGAGTTCAGACAAAATCCCTCCTCAAGAAATGAGCCTTGTTCCTTCCTGGTAATGGTGTGGTGAGGGAATAGGGCGAGATTTGTCTTTGTCTCAGGGAGGGGAGTGTGAAAGGAGAGTGAGGAGCAGGACAGGGGCCAGGACGCGGGGCAGAGGCCTTGGGAGGCAGCTCTGCTCAGCACAAGGTTCAGGGTGAGCAGCAGTGCCCGGACAGTGCACAAAACCAGGACTCACGGACACCTGCCCTCGGTCCTGGAGAGTGCACTAAGCCAGGACTCACGGACACCTGCCCTTGTTCCCAGGCCTCACAGCACAACCAACCTTTCCATGTTTACATTTCTCCAGAGCCGTGGACGGTGGAGGTGAAACCATGTGGACAGAGTGGACAAGGCTGAGTTCTGCATTCCTCTCCCTCAACTCCTGGTCAGCCTCCCTCCAGACCTGACATCCACCTCCATTCCCACAGAAGGCCTGCTGAGAGGCAGCAGGAGAGGGCTGATGCACGCAGGCTGAGACGTGGCACCGGCACGTTCCCCAGGTCTGCAGAAGCCCCGGCCTGAGCAACACCTGACCCCAGGTCCCCACCTGACCTGGGGTTCAGTCCACACCTTACAACCTCCATTTCTGGCTGACCTAGAAAAGAACACACACGGAGGAGAGTCTCTGGGCAGGAAAATGAGTCCACTGACACTACCCCATTGTCCAGTCATGAGCTGGATGTGCACAGGCAGGAATGGGAGAAAGGGAAGGTTTGCTAGCTCCAGGGGTGGTGGTCTGGCTTCTCCTCACAGGATTTGGAAGTACTGGGTTAGAACTCAGGCCTGTGCTCGTTGGGCCATCGTGCTGTGACTGGGCCATGCCTCTCATTTTGCTGTCAGCTGTTATTCGGGCAGAGCCTTGGTGTTGACTGAGGCTGGGCTCGGGGCTCAAACGCTGTGTCCATACCTCTGGTGTAACTGGGGGCCCTGCGGACTTAGGCTGTCACCCCCCAGCACCTTGACTGAGATATAGCCTGGGTAATGTTTTCCATGGCTGGATTCGAACCATGATCCTCCAGTCCCCACTTCCCACACAGCCTGGATTGCAGGGAGGACCCTGTGCATAGCCATGTCCCTCACGTTTTCAATGGGAATTTCAGGGCCTCCTCAGCAGGGAATCCCAGAGTGTCTCCCCAGGCTGATGGGAAAGTGATTGTCAGGTCCCCTGGCCTTCCTCAGGTCCTGGGGACCACGGCTGGGTCGTTGCCATTTCCAGGGCGATGCACTGGTCTAATTGATGTGGGAATATGCTTTATCGTTTAAAGATCATAACAACATGATCACATTGTGAACTCAGAGACGCCACGGAGTGGCAGCCTCCAGATCCAGACGGGATCCCTGGCAGTTGGCTGGACAGAGGGCAGCCAGATGGTGACACCAGCCCTGGGCTGCAGGCTGTGTTCTGGATGGACTCTGGGCTGGGGTGTGCTGGGCATCCCTGAGGGTCCTGTGCGTCTCTGCGGCAGGCTTGTGTCAGGGCTCACACCCGGTCTCCTCAGTGTGTCCTACACAGTAGTGCAAGGCCGTGTCCTCCGTGGTCACAGAGCTCAGCTGCAGGGAACACTGGTCCTTGGAGGTGTGCACTGGCATGGTGACTCTGCTCTGGAGGCTCGGGCTGTACGCGGTACTCCCATGTTTATAGATGTGTCCAGTCCACTCCAGCATTTCCCTGAGGCCTGTCGGGTCCAGCTCCGCAGTCACCATGCTGACGGAGTCACCAGAGACTGCACAGGAGAGGGACGGCGTCTGCACGGGCCTCAGCAGGCCAGGGCCTGACTCCTGCAGCTGCACCTGGGACAGCTGTGGACAGAGGAGCAGCTGCGTCTCGGCCCAGACGCCGCATTCCACGCTCTTGCCCAGTCCCAAGTCACCACCGCTGTGAGCTGCCAGCAGAAGCAAACCTGCTCCACGTTCACAAGGCCACGTCTGTCATGCACAGACAGCATTTCCAGAGTGTAGAAGAGGCTGAATTTAAGCAAGGGTGCGACTTCTCCGGGTGTGTATGCGGGAATTTGCATGTGGGGGCACCCTGCTTATGGCTGCATACGAGGGGCAGCATCCCTGTCCCCTGTCCCCCTGTTATGAGGTGACCGCGGGTCTCTAGACTACAGTCCTCATTCCCCTGTCACCTGTTCCCTGGGAGGAGGTGACTACTCATCTCTAGAGACTCAGCCCTGTGACCACAGCCTCACCTCCCTGGTCCTTGCAATTACCAAGGGGCATTCATGCTGAAAGACCTGATTTTTCATCTAGATATGTAATGTGTGAACGCAAACAGTGTCTTTCATTATCACACAAACAAATACACACCTACACATACCTGTACACACACCTCACAGGTACATACATGCCCACAATATACAAGCACACATATATAAACAAACACACATATACGTACATACACAGAACCTTGGAACCTTGATCAGGAAGTAGATCCAATGAGTGTCAGGGGAGGGAAAGAGAAAGAACAAGCATGCAGAAGCAGGAGAATCCTTGTGGACCAAGTGTTCTGGGACTGCAGGGCTTGTCCTAGTCTTCAGAGGTGTACTGAACTGGGAGAAAGATTGGTAGAAGTGACCCTCATGAGAAGAGCCTGCAGGATTGCATGAAG